TTACTCTCACAGCAAGGTAGTTTGCATTTTTAATTAATTTCACTAGATAATTATGTAATTTAAGAAATTTGATTTTTTAAATTATTTTTGTAAAATGCTGTGTTAATTCTTTATTTCATAAATTCGTAATAGTTGCTGATGTGAGTAATTTAATTATAATAATTTTTAATTTATTCTGATGCTTATTCTGGATTTAGCATAAATTCTCCAGGAAATATACATATAAAAATATTTAGAATAACTCTGCAGGTGGTATTTATTGCATTATTGAAATGGTAATAAACTAGGTTTAGACATCTCAATATTTTTCCTTTCTTTCTGCTTTTCCTTTTTTTTTTTTTTTTTTTTAATTTTTTTATTTTTCTGAAGTAAAAATAAAGAATATCCACTGGAAAGTTCTCCTCCAATCAACTGTGAGGCAGAAACATCCGTTATTTTCAACCAACTACAATTTGTTGCGTTCAGCATTCTGGTATGAATGGTTTCATTAAATGTACTGTTGTGACCTTGTGGAGACAGAACAACAAAATTTGTGTGGTGTTGTTTATAAAAGCTATGGTTTTCCTAGGTAACTTCCTAGAAAAATCTGGCATCTGCTGCCTGGTCATCATTTTTTAACTTGCAATACTATGCAATCTGCTAATATGTATCAAATGATTCTAATTCTCCATTGATTTTCTATCTTGTTTGCTTTTGGCCCCATTCTATCACTTTTCCACCACAACTTGCAAATTAGTGGTGTAACACTTCAGAAGGTGATCTTCTGAGTCATGTCCTTGGTGTCATTAAGGCATGTTAGAAGCTGAAGTTCTGTTTCAAAAGAATCAGAATACTCCTTTTTTTTTTTTTTTTTTAATTTGAAGATCATTCAGTTTTTACGTATCTATTAAAACTATAAAAAAGAATTCTTGAATATAATCCAAAGAAGGATATATATTTTTTAAAGGCTTTGGAGAAGCAAGTCTTGTCATTGCTTTTGTCATTTCCAATCCAGGTAAATATTATACAGGAACCTTTTCCTAGGACAGCAATCAAGTGTATCACTGAGTACATTATTATGTCAATGCAAACCACAGGATATAAAAGTATTTAAAAATATGTATCTTTATCAGTATTTTGGGTACTAGAACAGTAGCCAACTCTAGTGGACGTGTCAGGAAGTTTTTTATTTTAACATCTGCTATATATTTTCTATTTGCATTGGCTCAGCTCTGCTTGTCTTCCTATAGTTACTCCACAATTCACATGGAAGTTTAGACTCAATGGCATTGGATTCAGTTGACTACAGATACTCTTAACTTTACTGCCAATTACTTTAAGCAAAATGAAAACTTCAGAAATAGGAAGGGCAACTAGGTGATAGGTTAACCTTCTGGCTTATGGTTAGTTTAACAGGAAAATTATGCTTTAGCTCCAGCTACCTCAGACAAAAGATGTTTAGTGTCTTAGAATCCATTCTTAATGACCTGTTGTATGGGAACTGCTGAGTCACGGCCTGAACCTCTGATTGATCACCTGAGGTGAGCCATGAGTCAGCCAGAGGAGCACAGGTGAAGGCAATTCACCTGTGCTGCCGGCTCCACCCCTCCTGGACCTATTTAAGAGCTGGCTACCAGAGGGGAAGGATCTCTTCTGGAGATCCTCCTCTTTGATATCTTCTAGTGAGCTCAACCCAAGGGTAAGCTCTTCTACTTATTCTCTTTTGTGATCCTTGTTTGCCTTACTCTTTTGATTATATTGCAATTATAACATCTTGGTTATACAGCTTTGCCTTACTCTTTTGATTATATTGCAATTATAACATCTTGGTTATACACCTGTCTTGCATTTCAGGGAAAAGAGATGTTCCAGCGGGCTGTAGGCTTTGCACAGTTTTATTTTATGGATACATTTATATTGCTGTGCTGTGGAGCTGAATTTCATCTATGAAGTTTCCATCTAGATGCGGCGAAGGATGACCTAAGACGGTGAGTTAAATCCTCATCAGCAGAGCAGTGAAAATACATGAAACTCCTTTTACTGATTGAACTGAGATTTTCTTGGGAGTAAGGTGGGATGGAGGGCTGTCTTAGGAGTGATATTTAGATGAAAGAGTTGAACCAGCTAATTGACAGAACAAAGAAACTTTTGTGCAGTGGGGGAGTAAGTAGGGCGAAGGGATTATCAGTAATTCTTATACTGCATGCAGTATTGGAGAACATTCTCTGTTCTTCAGAAATCTCAAGTAAGCATTTTAAGAAAATTTCCAAAAGTATTATGCTAAGGTCTGGAATTCAGATTTTGAATTTTCATAATATTTTAAATGACTTTATCAAAATATTTAAGCAACACTATATTTAAAGTATTTCTGTCTTTTTAATCGCCATTCCTATATCATGTCTATACAATGACTAGTACAATATGTCTTGGCTTTTCTTGTTGAGAAATTGCATGCCAGTCATTTCACATAGCTTGAAATTTTCTTACCATAAGCATCTCTGCTCTCTGAAGATCAGTTGCATGAAGTTCATGCTGTTGTGCCAGAACATTCAGATCATTTATCTGTCCCTCAGAAGGTGTCATTCATTATCTGTGAAATAAAATTTTGAGGGGCAGGGTGGAGAAGAGAAGTGGCATTGGGAAAGTGGAAATGGATTCTTAAGTACTTTTTTCTTAATGAAATGTATATGATTTCATGAAGTTCTACTCCCTTAATCTTTTAAGGGATAATTAATATTTAAATGTATGACTTCTTATAATTGAGTTGCTTTTATTGTTTAAACAGTGCTTCAGATGATAATCTTTTTTGAATGATGCTTTCCTGACTCTAAAAGCCTGTCTTAGTACTTAAGAATTTTGATGCAGGAAGTAAAGCAGTTTGATCATCAGTTCAACTGTTTTGTGATGACATTATACAGATGTGTGGTATGTAAATATTGGATGACAGTCTATATACTCAAATTATTTTGAAAATATACTCAGAGGCAGCGGAGTAGCAGCCCACTGCATAAATTTAAATTAAATTAAATCTACATATTTAATTTAAATTAATTATTGACATATTTAGCCCTTCCATCACGGAAAGTAATTAAAAAATACAGTGGTGTGGGTGTTGGGGTGGTTGGTCTGGGATGAGGAAGAGCACTAACTCAGTAAGCACGTGTTCTTTAGTTTCATAAAGGGATTTGTACAACCCTTTCTGAAGGACACCTC